TCCTTCAGTACCGTTGGTTCCTGATCATATGCTGCCCCCTGAAATGATTGAATGTCGACCAGTTCTTTTTGGTGCAGTGACTCTGTATATTCTTTCCATCTTCTTTTGATGCTTTCTGCATCATTTAATATTTTCCCCGTGGAATCCTTCAATATTGCAACTTCAACATTGAATTTTTTCTTCAGTTCTTTCAGCTTGAGAAATGCCAAGTGTGTTCTTCCCAAAAGATCGTAAAAAAAATTTTTTTTTGATAGATTGGAATTCATCTAAATTAAAAATGTACGCTCTTCAAAAGAGCATCTTAAGGAAAGGAAAAAAAAACAAGCTACAGATAGGGAGAATATATCTGTAAAACATAAATTTTTTATCCAGAATATGTAGAGAACATTCAGAACCCCATAGTGAGACAGCAACAATGCAATTTTTTTTTTATAGTACTAAAGATTTGAACTAACACTATACAAAGAAGCTACGTGGATGACAAATAAGAGTGGGAAAGTGTTCAGCATTGTTAGTCATTGAGGAAATGCACATTAAAACCAACACAAAGCAATTAGAATGGCATTTTTTAAAAAGCTGACAACACCGAGTTGTAGTGGAGGGGCTGGTGAGGAGGGAGGGAAGCACACACACCACACGCAAGAGAAATGAAAACTTACATTCGCATGGAGACCTAGATGCAAATACTGACGTTGGCTTTATGCATAATCACCAAAAACCTGAACCAACACAAATATCCTTCAACAAGTAAATTCAGGTAAAAATACAGTATTAAAAAATATATATACATGCATATATTTGTGTGTGTGTGTGTAATACAAGCAATTTCTATGGTAATGCGTATCTAAAAAAATAAAAACCTAAGGGGAACATTTTCCTAAATGGATAATTATTTAGAAGCAACCCCTATTTAAAAAAAAAAAAAAAAAGAGCCAAGAACGGGCACTGTCTCCATCTCTCTTGATCACCGTATCAGAAGTCCTAACACGCGTCATTGAAAAAGAAAGCGAAACTGGGGAGAAACACTACGGCCTCAGAGGGAAGGACGACACGTCACAGAGATGTTAATAGTCCCCAAACTGATCTATAGATTCAGTGCAATTCCGACAGAAATCCCAACAGGATTTTTTCACTGACCTTGCTGAGATTTTCTAAAAGTAACACAGAACAGTCAAGGGCCAGCAATAGCAGCGACACTTCTGAGGGAAGAGAGAGAGGAGGGGGCCCTTCCCTATTAGGTGTCAGGACTTGGATCTGAAATCCTTTTTTCTAGGAGACAGTCATTATGTTGTTGTCGCTGGGTGCCGAGAAGTCAGTTTCTACTCATAGTGACCCCATGAGACTGAGTAGAACTGCTTCGTAGGGTTTTCTAGGCTGCAATCTTTATGGCAGCAGATCACCAGGTCTTTCTCCTGTGGAGCTGCTGGTAGGTTTGAACCTCTGAACCTCTGCTGGTGGGTTTGGTTGGCAGCTGAGTGCTTAACTGTTGCACCACCACGGCCCGTTTCACGACTTGTTTTGAAGCTATGGTGCATCCTTGCCTCCTCCCACTTCAACCAGTCAGATTAATTTAACTCTGAGCAGCGTCTACTCCAGTGTCCACACTGGACTGGGCCTCACTGGGACTGTGAGCCTGGGTTATAAATCAGCACAACTCTGTGATCCGGAGCACATCTTCTCTTCCCTCAGAGCCTCAGTTTCCCTATCCGAAGCTGGACAGCTGTCCTACGCGGGTAAAGTCTATGGAGGAGGTTGAGCTTCTCATCCTGGGACCAGGTTAATTATTGGTCATTCGGTCAATCAGCAAACATTTATGAGGCCGGCTGGCCACAGGGTAGTGAGAACACAATGATTGAAACAGAGGGTCTGCCCTGGGGGCTCAGACTAGAGTTGGAAATAAGATTATTTGTGATAGCGACAAATGCAATGAAGAAATAAAGCAGAGGACTGATGGGCTGAGAGCAGATGAAGCTTCTGTCTCAGCCAAGGCCTCTCTGAGCAGCTGGCATTGAGCAGACACCTGGATGATTGATTTAAAGACCCCTTAACTGGTACTCAGACCATGGTGGTCCCAGCAATCTTTCGTCCTCCGCTTTGGGGTCACCAATGGTTCTCAGGACAAAAGAATACACTTGTTGAGGACTGGAGGCTTGTACCTGGGGGGTGAGGACACTGCCTTCTCTCCAAGGACCGGAAGCAGCCCTACAGAGGTCAAGTAATGGTGGAGGAGCCCCAGCCTCAGGAAGATTTTTGTGCCCCCAGGATGGAAATAAAACGTTCAAGCCGCTGAACTTCGAACTCTCACACAAGCTTGGGCAGTGGGCCTGTCACAGTAGCCGATGGATTGTACACTTGATGGGCAGCAGAAGTGTTTTACTCTGCCCAAGATTCGTTTAAGGTACCCTGGGTGTGTGTGCGCCCCCAAAACCAGTAAGATTGAATTTTCCACTGGCTTGCACTCTGACTACATGTGCTATGAAGACCATAGTGTGACATCTCTCGCTCCTCCAAAGTGGTGAAGAAGTGGATGCTCATGGCCCTTCCCGCACCAGGAGCCCTGAGCCTTGAGGTGAGAGACCCTTGCCCCTGAGCTGAGTTCCTCGTGGCGACCACTCCCGCTGCTGTCAGCCCTGCCCGATGGCCACTTCCGGCCTGCCTGAGCACAGCGTTGCAAGAAGAGATTTAGCGGACAAGGGAAATGGCGGATCCCCAAACCCAGTACCAGGGTGCATCATAGCTGGACCAGGAAGAGCATGGCCAGGGAGCTGAGATGCTGTGAGGCAGATTCAACCTGAGATGCAGGACAGAAACCCCAGAGCCAGCTTCCGGACGGAGAGAAGGCTGTCCTGCTCTTTCCTTTCAAGAGGGCTCTTCGAACAACCCTCCCAGGTTCTGATCTTCCCAACGCCAGGCTTCCAGGTGGGGCCACCGGAGAAACACCTGGGCCTAGTGCTCATAGTGTCCAGGGGACACACGTCCCAGAGACACACAGTCCAGAAGGACACAACCAAAGGGGACACAGATCAGGGGGACATATGTCCCAGGGACACACAGCCCAGGGACATACAGCCCAGGGGGACATAGCCCAGGGGGACACAGTCCAGCAGGAAACACAGCCTAGGGACATAGCCCAGGGACACAGCCCAGGGGAAACACATCCCAGGGACACACAGCCTAGGGGGACATAGCCCAGAGGGGCACACAGTCCAGGGGGACACAGTACAGGAGGACAAAGTCCAGGGGGACACACAGCTCAGGAACACAGCCCGGGGAGACACATAGGCCAGGGGACACAGCTCAGGGGGACTTAGTCCAGGGGACATAGCCCAGGAGGACACACAGCCCAGGGGGACACACAGCCCAGGGGGACACACGGCCCAGGGGGACACACAGCCCAGGGACACACAACCCAGGGGACACACAGCCCAAGGACACAGCCCAGGGGACACACAGCCCAGGGGACACACAGCCCAGGGACACACAGCCCAGGGACACACAGCCCAGGGGACACACAGCCCAAGGACACACAGCCCAGGGGACACACAGCCCAAGGACACACAGCCCAGAGGACACACAGCCCAAGGATGCATAGCCCAGGGAACACACAGCAGCCCAAAGTGGAGACGGCTCAACGGTCCATCATCGGATAACGGATGAACACATCGTGGTCCATTCACACAGCAGATTATTACTCAGCCACAAAGAGGAACGAGGTCCCGACGCATGCCACAACGTGGATAAACCTTGATGACGGGATGCGGAGTGAAATAAGTCAGTCCTTGCTGAACCTCAGACGCTGAAGGTCTAGTTAAGCCCACTCTCCCCCACCATGGTGCTCTCCCACTCGCCTTCCCGCCACGCCCGAGGGCCGCCCCTCCCAGACCGCAGACCCCTCTAGGGGGGCTTCCCGCCCGCACAGACCCTGCCCGTCACCAAGGCCCTCTTACCCTCGCTTAGGGAGGTGTGGGCTGCAGCTTCACTCGGCAGAACGTGCACCTGCATTCATGGGGCAGCTCAGGGCTGCACACGCCTCCCTGCCCCAAGGATGACCACTGCAGAGTTCCCTCTCCCGCCATCTGCCTCCAGATCCTTGGACCTTGAATCCTGGGGAGAGAGTCCAAGGGGGCCGCCTCCTCCCAGGGCCCAGGCCACGAGCGTGCCAGTGGGGAAGGCAGGAGAGACGTCATCTCCTGATGTCTGCAGTGTGGCCCTCTCTGTCCACCTGGAGCCACCACGGTCCTGGACCCCTGAGGCTCAGGGAAGACGGGTCTGTCAGGAGCCATGTGTCCCTAGGCTCCTTCAGGTCTGTGGTCACATGGGGCTGGCCTTCCCCAGACTGAGTCCTTGTCTTCAGACAGAGAGGGAGGGAGAAATGAAAGACAGGAGAGAGGGAGGGGAAGAAAGAGGGAAGAAGAAAAGGTTTGGGATGGAGAAAAGAAAGGGGAGAAAGGAGGAGGGCCAGATAAAGGGCGAGGGAGGAAGAAAGGAGGGGGACGGAAGGAGGGAGGGACAGAAGGAGGAAAAAAGGGAAGGAAGGAACTAAGGAGGGAGGGAGAGAGGGAGGCAGGAGAGAGGGAGGGAGGGAGGAAGGAAGGGAGGGAGGCAGGGAAGAAAGAGAAGAGGGATGGGGCTGAGGAAGACTGGGCACAGGATGACCTGGCTGGGCTCCCAGAAACACCATCACAGGGGACGGGACCCAGCAAACCCTCCTCGCCCCAGACATGGCTGCTCAGCCTAAAGACTCAGAGCTCAGGGAACCCCCAGGCAAGCCCACACAGGGTCCCAAGCTGCTTTTCCACAGTTTAATGGACACCAGGGCACAAGGCATGGGCTATGAGCCACTCATCCCCACAGACCCCCACCTCCAAGACCTGCCCGCACAGCCCCTCCCTGCCTCTCCCCAGGGGAGCCGAGGAATGGCCTCCGGCGCTGCGGAGGGTGAGGTGGAGGATGAGGAGGCAGGTGGCCTCCCCAGAGCTCCGGGCCCCACTGCAGGCCTTCTAGTACCGGTGGGAGTCGGGGACATACTGGTGAATCCAGGACACGTAGCTCATCACGCGGGCATAGACCCCTGGGAGGAAGCGGTGGCCACAGCTGTCGCCCCAGCTCACCAGCCCTACCTGGAACCAGGTGTCATTCCAACTGCAGGCCAGGGGGCTCCCAGAGTCACCCTGGGGGGAGAGGGGGCACTTGGCAAGCTCGTCCCAGTGCCATCGAGCAGTGGGTCCTTCTGCCCCATCCCGTGGCTGTGGTGTCGAGGGACAGAGGGGTGCAGGTGGGGCCTCACCTGGCAGGAGTCACGGCCCTCGCTGCCCGCACACAGCATGTCGTCCTGAATGACCTTGGTGGTTTTGTTTGAGGAGACGCCGCTCAGGTAGCGTTGGTTACAGTCCTCGTTCCCCACAATAGGGATCTCCACCTCCTGCAGGCTGTAGGGCTTGGGCAGGTGCGCTGCGGGGAGAGCCTGGGTGAGCTGGGGGCAGGTCTCGAGGGCAGTCCTGGGCGATTCCCCTCTAGTGCCTGGATCTGCTCATCTTCAGAGGAGCATCGATGCCCGCCTGGGTGGTGGGGCGCCCAGGGAAGAAGCTGCGGGCCCAGTGGGGAGGGGACAACCACTGCCCGGGTCTGTCAGCGAGTCTGTTCACAGAGGCCCTGATGTGGTCTCACAAAGGGGCCCCCCGAGCAGTACAGAGAAGAAAGCATCCCCAGGACCTTCTCCCCGCCTCCTCCCACGCCCATCATGTGCCCCGGCCCCTGACCCCCCTGCTGCCCCTGCCCCTGACTGCCGGGTGCCCCTGCCCCTGATCCCCCAGGTGCCCCTGACCCCCCAGGTGCCCCTGCCCCTGACCTCCCATCTTGACAGCACCCCAGCCAGTCACCCAGCACGTCTTCCCCGCAGGCACTGTCAGGGAGGTGGGTGGGAGGTTGACCGGCTGCACATAGTCCGACAGCATCACGGAGGTCTCTAGCTTCAGCAGGGCTATGTCTGCGCCCCCCTCGGCAGACAGGCTGAGGTTGAACTTGGGGTGGCGGATGATCTCAGTCACATTCGTCAGCTTGTCGTGGTCATAGAGTTTCAGCTGCCCGACCTGGACCCGATAGGCACTGGGCCCCAACTCTATCCTGGAGGAGAAGGGTGGGAGCTGCTCAGAGGTGCAGGCTCAGCGTGGCAGCAGGAGTTGATCCAGGGGCTCAGAGCTAAGGATCTCCTCAACCTGGGGTGTGTTGCTCCTACCACCGGTCCACCCAGAGCCCTGGACCACTGACCCCCAGGCCTGGATGCCCCCATACCCTTCCCACCACCCCTCTGTGTGCTCCTCACCAGGAGCAGAGGGCGGTCACTCACGGGACAGGACAGTGGGCCGCAGTCAGCACCCACTGGGGGTGGACGAGGGAGCCCCCACACACATGCTGCCACAGCCCCAGCTCCTTATTGTACACTCGGAGGCTGACCTGCCAGGGCCATCTTCTGGGTGGGGCGTCATGGCCCCCGACAATGCCCACAAACTCAGTCTCTGGACTAGGAGCTGGGAAGGCAGAGCAGGAAGCTGTCATGGACCCCAGTGTCCTTGCCCCAGGCTCAGCTCAGACCCTCTCACTCACCCATCTCCCCCACTCCCCGGATTTCAGGGGCATCCAAACAATCACCCTGACCCCCGAGTGGTTCCTGGGAGGCTAGTGGAGGCCTTGGGGGGCAGGGCCAGGGGCCAGTGACAGAGTAGGCATTGGAAGGGCCAGGACTCACCTGGGGTCTTGGGCATGGAGCCCCCCAGGCAGGGAAGGATCAACAATAGCACCCACCGCATCTGCAGGGGGAGGGGGGGCTGGGTGAGGAGACGGGCCTGGACCCCGGGGTCTGGGATGGGGAGGGCGGGGTGTGAGTGGGCACCACCTCACCTTGATGGGACACCTGTCTTCTCTTCAGCCTCTCTGAGTCCCTTTGTCCCTGCGCACAGCAAGGTGGGCAGGTTAGGCTCCCAGGGTGGGGGGGATGGGCAGGAAGTGGGGCTTCTCCTTTGTGGGGCCAGGGTGGTCCTAGCTCAGGGGGTCCATCAGTGGTCACTGGGGTGCTCTTGCTATACTCCCAACTTCACCCTGCTCCCAGTCAGCCCCTCACCAGACAACCCCCACACCTCCTGTGCCCCATCTCAGCTGCAATCACACAGCCTGCCCCGGTGGGTGCAAGTGGGAGAAAACAGGCTGACAGGATGATCCAGAAATCCCGGGGCACGGGAACCATGCTGGCAGGACCAGGGACCAGAGGCTACCAGGTGCTCAGCAGCTTAAGCATAGAGCTGTTGCGAGGACAAATAGCCCAGTGCTGAACCTTCAGTGAGGCAGCATGGAGCACGCCACCATCTGACTGGACAGAGGGTGCTGCCTCCATCTGACTGGATAGGGTACACTGCCACCCTCACTGCTGCCACTATCACTGCCACCATCTGACTGGACAGAGGACCCTGCCACCATCTGGCTGGATGGGGCATGATGCCAATGTCTGACTGGACAGGGAACACTTCCACTCTTTTCTGCATGCTGTCTCTTTTCTGGTTGGATTCTCCAGAGGAAAGGGCTAGGGTTGAGGTTGGCTTGAGGCTATTAACTGGGGCTCAACATCTGTGGAAGGCAGGTGGAGGAAGCAGAACTGGGCAGGGGGAGAAAGGGGCTACCCTGCAGGCTGACAACATCTTAATCAACCGATGGGGAGATCTAGAGTGCATATGGCCCCCATTGGGACAAAACGTCTGGCTGTCCCACCTCCTCCTGGATCATTCGTTAGTTGGGGGCTAATGAAGGATTTAGCAGGAAGCGGTGTGACTGGGTGTGGGGGCCAGAAGTTCTCTAGTGACAACACTCCCAGCAGATGGCACAAATTCCTCCCCTGAAGAGGGATCTGGGTGACCCAGCTCTGCCCAACACTGTCCACCCCTTGGACTGCTTCATACAGGTGGGGACCAGCTACTGCAAGGTTCCAGGGGCCTCTCTTTCTGGGGAAAACTTACTAGAGGAGGGTTAATGGGACAATCTTAAAGCCTCTGCCTCTGCAGTAGTTTTCAGGGCCCTAGCTGAGACTCATCAGGCCCCTCCTCCACTGTCCGTTCTAGACTCCCACACTCTGGTCTCTGCAACTTACCTGGTGGTGTGACCCAGACCTTCATCCCTGAGGAGCCTGAGCCCTAGTCACCGTGGACTTCTCAGGCTGGGGTGGTTGCACTTGTCCACTTACCATCACAATTGATAAGCGGTATCAAGAGGCATGCAGTAGCTCTCCTGGGTGCCACACATTCTCCCCTGCCCCCCATTGTGACATAGCAGCCTTCCCTGCTCCTGATGGTCAGTGTCAGTTGTTCAGACCAAGATGGTAGCACTACTTATTGCCTACTGCTCTCTGGACACAAGGAACTCAAACTGCCCAGGCATCAGTTATAACTTATATTTAAATAGGACTCTCGATGTCCCATAGCAAAAGTATGCCCCTTTGAGAAACCAGGGCCTCTAACCCTGAAGAGCTCAGAGCTGTGGGGATGGAAAGCACAAATTCTCCCACTGGGTCATTGAGTGTGATGGCAATGGAACCACCCCTGCTTCCTGCCCTTGGTTCCCAGGCCCATTGGTTCTTCCTACTGGAGACACAGCACCATACAAAGGCCTTTGATTCAATGTCTATGCTGTGTCCTAGAGGATGGCTGTCTGTCGTCATAGGGTATCACCTCTCAGCTGGCTCTTCAGCAGGCCATCCCAATGCTCTATTAAGAGAGCAACTTCTGTGATATGACCACTGGATCCCATGGCCAAGTATCCTCTCCTGCACCTTCTTAACCATAAAATGGGCCCCCAAGTCTGAAGTTATGTGGGATTCTATGCTGGTGTATCCAATATTCCATAGCCCTTGGATCAGCCCTTGCTGGCTGAGTTTCTGCAAACTCATACCTGGAATATGTGTGTATTCCTATTAGAACAAATCTCTGGTCCTTCCAGGATGGCAGGGGCCAATGGAGTCAATTTGCCATTGAGTGGTCGGTTGCTGTCCTTGAGGAATAGCACCATATTGCGGGCTCAGCATTGGTCTCTGCTGCTGGCAAGTTGGACATTTGGTGGCAGAGATAGTTAAATCAGTCTTGGTATTGGTTGGAACCCATGCTGTTGGACCCCATCTTTCCATAGAGACCACTTCTCTAATGGGCCCATCTTGCCACCACTGGAGGCCAATGAACAACTGGCATCATCTGGCCAGTAATTCTATCTACTTGGTTGTCTAATGCTTTTTCCATGGCAGATGCTTTTCTGATGGAGGTTCACTAATCTTTACGCTTCATGCCCACTCCTGTATGCCCATCCACATACCTCTACCCAAGACCTCCATCTACCCAACCTTCCACTTCCAGTCAGCCAGGCCAGTCACCCCTCCCATGAGTATGTATATATTCTCACCTCAGGCCACTTCTCCTTCTGCACAAAGTGCATGAGTAGGTGCACTGCCCAAAGCTCCACCTTTAAGGAGAATGTTCTCTTGCCACAGTCTTCCAAGGCCACTTCCATTACAGACCCCATGTCCCCCACAGTGGTGCTTCAGGTATCTGTCTATCTAGGTCAACATTGGCCCTGTGTCCAAAGTCTGGTATTCCCCCTTCCCAGGTGTGTAGTTACCTGAGTATGACGATAGGCTGTTTTGGGTGGGGGGATTAGGGGAGCTGTGATGGGGCATCTCGATTTGACATTGTGTGGTACCCCCTCCTGGAGATAAATCCCTTCTTCAGTCACTGAGGTCCAGATCTGAAATACAGCTTAGGCACAGACACTTGGCACAGAATTGTGCCTTTTTATTGGGGCAACTTCCCTCCACCTCCCAGCTGCCTTCCTTCATCTCCTCTGATGGCATGAGCTGAGCAGTAGTATTCTTGGCTGCCCTTCTGCCCTAGGGACTTCATGTCTGTTTGTCACCGTCTCCATGACTCTCTCCAGGACAGATCTCCTTGGCTGATGCTCTGACGCAGTCACTCATTTTGATCAATGAGTCCTTTCACTTCTGTGGCATAGGTGACGACTCATGACATCTCTTGTTTCAAGTTCCCATTTCCCTGTGACCACCACTGAGCCTAGTTCTGTGAAGACCTCTCCTGCCTCCGTCCAGTTTGCAGACACTGCCCTGACTCCCACCGGCACATTCACAGCCTTCCTAATGGAGAGTCCTTTGGACTCTCCCACAGAACTTAATCCTGTGGTGGGTCTTTCACCTTAAATAGTCCATCTGCCCCAGCAGGCCACCTCCCAGGCCTTTTATCCACTCCTCCACATTGGCAATTCAGGGGTTTTGCTCTCACTCAGTGTGGATTCCACTTTTCCAGGCCTCTAGGACCATCCTCATGGGCGGCAGCACCATCTGCAGGGTCCCTGCCAGGCCACTGGGTCCTGATCTGGGAGAGGGCTTTGCAGTCGATACACCCCTTCCAGTGCGGGTTAGGCCAGCACTGTCCTGGCTGGGTTCTATTGTGATGAGGCCCTGGTTATAGGTCCAGGGACCACACCCTGAGACAGGGTGGCGTTCAGGGCATTGCTCAGGGATCAATAGCCATAGAGGGAGGGTGAGGGAGGAGATGGCAGAGCAAGCTGTTGATGGGGAGGCCTGGACCCTTAGGTCACCCATGGTGGCTGGAACACCTACACCAGCCTGGGTCACCTTTGGTTGTGGTTGTGGCTCCTGCAGCTGAGGGGACAGTGACGGGCAGACAGGAGAAGCTGGTGCTGACCACACCGCCACTCTCATCCATAGAGAGACCATGTACCACATCACTTGGGAGGTGACTCTGAAGGATTTCAGGGAACAGACACCTGTGCGTGTGTGGGGACCTGCATGTTGCCCTGGAAGTGAGGGAGCTGAACAGAGATGAAGGCAGGTTTGCCCCTCGTGAGAGGGGCATGGCCTCAGATAGAACCTGGCCTCTACTTCAGAGAGGACAGAAAAGTTTCTTTCTAAGGCCGGGGAAGGTGAATTAGCTGATCCTGGCCTTGGAGGGTCCCTTTTGGGGACAAAATTCTGCTGCCTCACCCCACCCAGGACTCCCCTCTGCCCAGCCTGGGGCTCAATGTCCCTAAAGGAGATGGGGAGAGACAAGAGAGCCCTACCTGCTGCCTAATCTCTATGTCCAAACCTAGGCATCTGCGCCAAGCCCAGCAAGCATCACAGTTGAGCCACGAGCCGCATGGCTCTGGGGGAATTCCAGCCAGGATAAGGGGTGCAAACCCAGAGCCCAACCTGGGAAGGATGAGGAGCATGAGCCCAGGTTCCTCCTTCCTTCTGCAAACAGAGCTCCAAGGACACAGGGCGAGTGAGGAAAGAGGTGAGTTTGGGGGAAGGAGGAGGATGAGGATGGGGACGTTGAGTCAATCCATCCACCCTGGATGGTCCATCGTCAGACTCCTAGACTCTCCAGCCTTCCCTGCGCCACTCCTGCTTCCTAGCTCCAGGTGTTCACCTAGCCCCCACCTCCACCTTCCATCACCTAGGCTCCCAGCAAGGAAGGCCTCGCCCACTGTTCCACTTGGCCACACCCACAGGTGAGGACACTCATCCCAGAGCTTGCTGCTCATGCACTTTATTGAGATACAGAGAGAAGAGGAAGCTATGGTCCAGGGAGGCTTCCCCGCTCCTGCCCCACCTCCTGGAAGTCATCAGAGTCTGCAGGGCACCATCTCTGCTGTCCCTTTCGGCTGTCAAGGAAGGGACAGGACTCTGAGGGGGTGGCAAGGACAGGAGGGCCTCAAGCATGGATGGAGGAAGACATTAGGTTCAGTGAAGAATTGGCAT